GATTTTTAAGGAGATTGGGCGGGGGGGGGGGGGGGGGGGGGGGGGGAGCATAAATCTTAATTAGAACCCTGGAGACTGGCTCTCTAACCAGACCCATTTCCCAAATAATTTTTCACATAACCTTCCAAACCTGGAACGGACGAGCTATCACGTGGGCATGAATGTGTCAGAACAGTTCACCAACACCCAGAGGCCTCTCCAGGAAAAGCATGTGATTTGGTGAGAGATTATCAGATGAGTCAAGTGACAATTACCCCCACACTGCAATTACATGTTACCTCCCTGAAAAGCCAATTAGCAAGGTATGTATAAAATGCAGAGCTCACAGGACCGTACATTTGGCTACATATTTTAGGTAGTTCATAGAATTTCTAGTTAAAAAAAAAAAAACAAACAAACTAAAAACTACTTTTCAGGGCATGTTTCACATTTAAGCAGACTTTTTAAAGAAAAGGATCATAAAAATAGTAAGAACGAAATTCAGATTGCGGATTTATGTTCTCTGTTGTATGAAAAGACTACAAATGATACACGTATGTGGCGATGCTGAAATAGGTAAAATCCCACAAAAATTTATTATTCCAACAACATTATAGTTTCAAGTTAAGTCAAAGGCAGGAGGCGAACAATGAAGCGGGCAGATTGTTGGTCCTGCACAGGCCCTTATCAGCTAGTCCAGCGTGACAAGGAGAAAGTAACAGCACAGCAGAAACAGGCGATGAACAGTGTCTGAAGTTCTAGAAAGGTGCTATTAAACCTGACCTGAGCCAGGCCTTCTCCAGCTCACACTGAGTGTTATTAGGGTCGTGTCCTATGGAGTCCCCACCTGTGTTCCTGAACTGCCCCTACTTTTCTTCTTCGAACAGGCACCGCTCCACACTTTTCGACCCGCGCTAGGAATTAGACAAACCCCAAATAAAGAACATACCTGATTTAAGAATTTCTACTGCACAAAACATACTGACTTTTCCTGAAGGAATTCTACACTACGATACCAAATGTCTTGCCAGGAATCCCTAAAGTAAGTTGGGCCGATAATTCTACTGCCAAATCACATCTCGTAATGTACACCAGGCCAACGGTAATGTGTAAATACTATTATATCACTTTGATTCATTTCCAAAAAACACAGAAACATTAATCTATACATGAAACATTTTCTTCTGTAAAGCCAAGGACTACAGAACAGATGACTGATAGATTTCCAACTTTTCTCTCACTTTCAAATCTCAGTAGTTACACAGATGCACAAAGTTTCTTATATACTCCCCAACCCCAATGCCCACAGTCCCAATTCATCCCCTGGCCCCCCACCAGGTTACCACCAGAAAAGTCTAGCAGTGCCATTCAGCTTTGAAAACTACTCCAGATTTCAGAACCCTGCCTTGTTTGGTTGGTGGTTTCCTTTTTTCTCCCTTGGTAGTAAGAATATCCCAATGTCTTAACTTTATAAGCAAAAAAAAAAAAAAAAAAAAAAAAAAAAAAAAAAAAAAAATTACTAGTTTCTAAATGAATCTTTAAAAAGCAACAAAAATACTCTTTTCACTTGAAAGAAAAACCCAAAAGGCAGTGCTCATATAATTTAAGCCTTCAGGGAATGTAAATTAAGACTTGGGTTCTATTTTCTGTCTCAACTTTTAACTTGTAACAATTTTTTGTAGCTTTTCAGAAGCTATTTTAGAAAAGGAAAAAAAGAAAGGGTCAGGAATAATTGTCCTTAGGAAAATGCGCAAACATATTCGTTGTATTGGGTGAAGTTCTTAAAATGTGGGTACTCTTCCAAGTTGACACAATATACCTGAACATTCGAATTAATATTGGAGTACAGCAGGATATACACGTATATATCTATAGATACAACAGGAGGGACTAGAATAGCATAACCAACAGGAGTCAGTCAACTGTTATTTAACAATCGGGCTCTGGTGGCCACCTTGCATCCCCAGGGGAGTGTGCACCTCATCTCGGCTGGTCCGCCCCAGACCCCCTGAGCGCCAACGCTCGTCCCGACCCCGCCGCCGTGTGCTCCATTTCTGCCCCGACAAGATGAAAGAAACTCTCCGGAAGCAGGAGAAAACGCCACACCCCAAGCACGCGTGCGCAGTGGTGGGGAAGGACCGGCTCCCCGAAAAGGCAGGCGGTGGGTTCACAGCCGGGCTACCGCAGCTGATAGAAACCTCAGTTCTCCTTAGAGGAGCCAGGGGTACACAAGATCCCTGGCGGGGAAGAGGGGAGTATGTTCACAACCAAGGCGCCATGATCCGCTTCCACAGCGCTCAAGTGCAGGCATCCGGGCAGCGAACACTCGCCGGGTCCCAGACCAAGCAGCCGACAGAAACGCTCGCTACCCAGGATCTGAAACCAACGCGGTGCGGACGGTCGGACTAGTTCAAGACCACAGGCCGAAGCCTACTGCATTGAGGCAACTTGTGAGGTGGACAGACCTTGACGATGTTGGGGGGGGGGGGGGGGGGGGGGGGGGGGGGGTCTATTTTATATTATGACTGCTTTTTAAAATGTTGTTCATGGGTCTGACAAAACCTAGATCTCTAATATTTTTAAGCCCCAGCCCCTTGGACACCGCAGCTCTTTTCCATTTTTGCTTAGACACAATGCATTCTGTGCAGCTAATTAAGCTGAAGAAGACTGAGAATAAAGTTTGAAACAAGGTTAATAGAGTTCTTTGCTCAGTATATGGTTTCAGTTTTTATTTCATTGACACTGATTTGCACACAGAAAGCAAAGTTGTTTCTAGAGAACTAATCACGGCATGTGGCTGGTAATCTTTGATGAAATTGGATTAAAGATTCTAAATGGCAGCATGATGTAAAAATAAAAACAGAAATCTGGTATTTTATCCTTTATACCGGAATTAAAAAATAAATTAAAATTTTTCTAAAATCTAGAAACTAACAAAAAATTTCAAAGTTAAAAAATTAAAATCTGGCATTTTAGAGGAATGGATACACCCAACACATGCTAATGGTCTACAACTCATTACAAAAAGAATCCCTTGAATAAACAAAAGTACATTAAAAATATGATGGCTTCTAAAATAACTTTTTCTAGGATAATAATTATGTTTCTTATATTAGATGTAGGCATGCTTAGCGGGGTGGGTATTAAATAATTTACTTGTAGCATTTTAAAGATAAACTTAAAATTTCAGTGTAATAAGAAAAACATCTTTTTTTTAGAATGGATATATTCATAAAGGACATATCAATGAGATCAACAAACGAACTGAACTCCCATCTATGGCAGTTCATCTAACCCTGTGATTACCGTTTCCTTCTATTTCCACTACCGTTCTCAGGAAGCAGGACATTCATTCATTTTAATGTGACACTCATCAAAATAATCATTCGTTTGCTCGTTCGTTGTCTTCACATTTAATGAGCAGCTTCTATACGCCTAGTACTTCTTGCTAGGGCTGAGGACAGAAAATGCATGAGCTAAATAAAAGCCTGTCCTGGGGCGCCTGGGTGGCACAGTCGGTTAAGCGTCCGACTTCAGCCAGGTCACGATCTCGCGGTCCGGGAGTTCGAGCCCCGCGTCGGGCTCTGGGCTGATGGCTCAGAGCCTGGAGCCTGTTTCCGATTCTGTGTCTCCCTCTCTCTCTGCCCCTCCCCCATTCATGCTCTGTCTCTCTCTGTCCCAAAAATAAATAAACGTTGAAAAAAAATTAAAAAAAAAATAAATAAATAAAAATAAAATAAAAGCCTGTCCTGAAAGGTGGTTTTTGGCTGAATTATGTCCCCTAAAATTCATGCACTGAAGCCCTAACGCCCAGTACTTCAGAATGTGACCGACTTGGAAATAAATAGAGGCCATTAGGGTGATCCCTAATCCAATATGACTAATGTCCTTATAAAAAGAGAATAGGACACAAACATACACAGAGAAGATGGTGAAGACACAGGGAGAAAACAGCCATCTACAAGCCAAGGAGAAAGGACTCAGAAAAAACCTACCATTGCCAACACCTCCAACCTCGACTTCTAGACTCCCGAATTGTGAAAACATCAATGTCTGTGGCTGAAACCACCCAGTCTGTGTCCTTTGCTACGCTGGCCCTTGGCAAACTAATACAAAGGCTCACGCTCCATCAGGGGAGACTGCCATCAAACTGTAATATCCGAGAAGAGCAGCTAAATTAGAGATATGCACAAAGTGCAAAGCAACAGACCGTAGCATCAGTCGGCCGTCCCGGATGTTCTGGTTTTAGGCTCTTATTCCAGGTGAAAGGGTATGCTAACAAAGCCTCCCTTACCATTTCGAAGACATCAACAGACTAACACGCGCTCGGCAGCCTTCCCATGTTATTTCACTTTATCCTCACATAAATCTTGCAGCCTTTTTGAGCGTCCCCATCATATAGATGAAGTCAGTTTCGATAAGATAATTAACTTGTCCAAGATCACCCAATTAACAACTCAAAGAGCCAAGTCCCTACAATTCAACATTGTACTTCCCTACGTCTGTCTGCCTCTCAAACAAAACTTGGAAGAGGTACTAAGGAAAGCAGACCACATCGCGGAAGCTTTAGCAGTGTGTTCTCTCTGTGCACTGCACAATTCTGCAGGTGTGCAATCATCTCTGAAAAGCATGCTAGATAGTGGGCGGTGGCAGTTCTAAGTGTGCAAAAAGACTAGCTTGAACAGCTCTGGAACAGTTTCTCAAAGTTACAGCAAAACCACAGTGATGCTTCTAATAATGCAGAGCACAAACTTAAAGATCAGGATCAATGGTAATGATTCCAACTTTCTCCCGTTTCCTTACTCATTGTACACCACGTCATTCAAGTTCCTTCGGTTCCATACTCACGACTTACTACACACAGGGATGCTTCTAAGAGGGCAAAAAGCATGCACGTGCACTTCTGTGTGGAGCCTTGACAGAGGCCAACAGGGAACTGTACAGGAGCCAGCGCAGGGCAGATCATTACTTTGGGACAAATGGGAGGGGAGATCAAACCAGAAGAGTAATAATGTATTTACCTGTCTCTTCGTCTATTTTGAAAACACCAACACCAGAACCATCTCTTATGGAATAGCGGATCTCCCCGTCTCTTCCTGTGTCCTCATCGTGAGCAGACACTGTCATTACTGAGGAACCAATAGGGACATCTTCTTTCACTACCCCCTTCTCCACAAAGCTGGAAAACACTGGTGGGTGTAAGTTCTCATTCACATCAATGACCTCAACTTCAACATAGCAAGTGGAAGACAGAGAAACCGGCTTCCCTTTGTCTTTGGCCCTCACGGTGAGATTATACACTTGCTTCTTCTCAAAGTCCAAATGCTGGACAATTCTGACTGCTCCGCTGAGTTTATCCACATCAAAGTGTCCTTCTCCGTGGTCCAGCAGACTGTATCTCACTTGGCTAGACTGACCTAAATCGGGATCATAGGCCTCCAACCACATGATTATGGTTCCTTCTGGAAGGTCTTCGCGAACTTTCACACGGTAATTAGGTGGAATGAACCTAGGTGGGTTGTCATTAACATCCTCTAATGATACTTTCAAAAGAACAGTGGAAAGCAACTGAGGTTCTTCTCTGGCTTGATCCCTGGCTTCAATCTTTAAGTAATGCACATGCTGTACTTCGCGATCCAAAGGGGACACAATTTTAACAACTCCAGTCACGCTGTCAATGGAGAATTTATCTGTGTCTGTGAGAATAGAGTAGGTCACATGTCCATTCGGCCCTAAATCTTTATCTGTGGCTTCAACCTGGATGATTTCACTATCTACCTCTTTGTCTTCGCGCACTTCAACAAAGTAGCTCTCCTGTAAAAACTCCGGGGGATTATCATTGGCATCCAGAACTCTGATGTCTACGAGACGCCAAGCGGCCTTCTGTGGTATACCAAGGTCAGATGCTGTAATGTTCAGGGTGTACTTGTCTGTTGTTTCACGGTCAAGCGGAGATAAAATCTTTAGCATTCCAGTTTCCATGTCAATTACAAAGCAACTATCCTCATTTCCTCCAGAAATGGCATAGACCAGTTTTCCATTGAAGCCAGTGTCCAGGTCAGTAGCATTCATGAAAATTATGCTGGCACCCACTGGATGGTTTTCCTTTACCTCAACACCAGCGGGGAGAGTACTTCTGAACTGTGGCGCGTGCGCATTGACAGAGTGGGAATCAAAGAAAATGTCCTCCACCTCTCCCTGACTGTGTAACTTATTTGCCTGCAGGAGTTTCTCCGCCAGCATTTTGGCAACGCCCGTCTCTTCGCACTGCAAGTGTACTGGCTTGCGACTAGCAGCCACAGTTATGTTGATGTATAACGGTGTGGCAAAATTCTCTCCATCTGTGGCCGTGATTCTCAGGCTGTGAAATGACACCTTGGTCCCTAAGCCATCCAGAAGCGACTGCTTTAGGGACAACACCCCAGAGCTGGGGTTTAGGCTGAACAAATCTAGTTCGTTTCCAGCTTCAATCTGGTATCGGACCAACTGAAGTTCGTCAGCATCAATCGCAGAAACAGTAGTTATTTGCTCCCCCACACCTAGATCCCTGGGGATAGTTCCTTCACAATTGATTTTCTCAAACAAGGGTGTGTTGTCATTCAAGTTATTGAGGGTCACCGTGGCGAGGACTTCAACTTCCCGGCGGTACGGCAAGCCCCAGTCTGACGCTCGAATCCTCAGAGTATAAACCCGAGGCATCAGCTCATAGTCCAGGTTTTCTGAAGTACTCACGGCACCAGTGAAATGGTTAATGACGAAGGGCACGTGGTTTAAATTGGCAATACTGTAAGTCACATAGCCATTCTCCCCCTCATCGGGGTCCACGGCACTCACGCTCAGGACCGTCGTACCAATGGGCATGTTCTCATCGAAAGATGCTTTGTAAGCAGTCTGGGTAAACTCAGGGGGATTGCTGTTCGCACCTAAGACTTTAACCAACACTCTGGTCGAGGCTCTTCTGTCACTTGTTGTTACTTCAAGTTCAAAATGGGATGCCTGCTGTCTTTTAACTGGCTCCAAAATGGAAATGAGACCAGTGTTGGGATTTAAACTGAATTTAGCTTTCCCGGGGGTACTTTTGAAAACATACCTCAAATGAGAATAACTAGGCGTGGCTTTCACCATGACCACGGGGGTATTGGAAGGAGCAAACTCACCGATTTCTGCTCTATAAACATCCTTTTCAAACTTGACTGGCCCAGCTTTGAACTGCGGAGAAGTCACATGAATTACTTTCACAGAAGAGAACTGGGGAGGGGTTCCTTTATCTTTAGCCTGTAGCGTCAGATTGTAGCCAAAAGGATGACTGTCCCAATCAATGCCACCAACTGCCTTGACTTTATATTCTTTACTCCCTGGAGAGGACCTCACTGTTCTAAACTGTTGAAGGAGGTCACCTGCCACAATGCTTAAAGAAGCTATTTCCCCATTGGGCCCCTGATCACAGTCGTCCACCGTTACGATTGCATATGTTGGGTCCTTGTCCAGTTCTGATGGAGACAGCGTCACCGCCGTGATCACAGGAGCACATCCGTTGGCCTGTTCCACGTGAACCGTCAGCTTAGCCATGCTGCTGATACCACTGCTACCATACAGCTTCATCCCACGGTCCACAGCAAGAATCTCCATCTCATAGAGCTTGGTCTCTGCGTAATCGAGCCTACCAGTTAAAACTATGGCACCGCTGGTCGGGTGAATAGCGAACACATCTGTTCGATCTTTGAAACTGTAGTAAAACTCTCCGTTGGTTCCTATGTCTGCATCTGTGGCGCTGACTCTGGCAATACTGGTCCTTATGGCTGTGTTTTCAGGTAACGAAACACTGTACGAGGTGGGGGAGAACAGCGGTCTCAAGTCGTTTGTATCCAGCACTTGCACCCTGACCTTGGCTCGGGCTTCAGCATTAGTATTTTTTTCAACTGCTTTGACTATCAATGTGTAATGGTCTTTTACTTCCCTATTAAGAATAGCTGTATTTCCTCCTTTGGTCCTTATTCTTAAGAAGCAAAAGTCTCCAAGGACATACTCTTCAGCTTTGAAAAGGTTTTCGTTGTCCCCGGAGATAATTCTGTACCTTAACTCCCACAGTGGATTTGTAAGGTAAATACCCATCTTTACAGGATGGCCCACGTAGGTTTTAGCTGCAGAGTTTTCGTGCACCGTGACATTGTACTGGAAGTGTGTAAACTGGAGAGGATTCTGCTCAGGGGTTTGGCTTCCGTCGCCGTCTCCAAAACGCTGGAGGAGCAGGAGCAGGAGCAAGGCCACAGGTCTCCCCATCGCTTAACCCTCAGGAATCTAAAACACAGGAAAGAAAGAAGAATCGTGACCTCGAAGAAATAAACAAGGCGGCGTAAACTTGTTTTGGGAGTTTTAGACTTTGCATTTTAGTGAAGTATTGTACATATGTATGAAATACAAATATGTGCAATCGTTTTTAGGTTTTTTTCTGTTGTCCAAGTATCAATACCTCTAAACATGTCTAGAATTACTAAGGAACAATCTTTTTCTTGTACTTTGAGGACTCAAGAATCATAAGGAGCTTCAGATCAAAGACTCCCGCCAGCTACATGTAACACCAAAGCTGAATTGTTCTACTTGATTCTTCAAGGCAAATGGAACCAACTGTGACAAAGGGAGATAACGAACATTGTCTAGGTTTACTTATACACAACAGATGAAATGCCCAAAAGCTCACAAATTTCATGCTGCCACAGTATCCCAAGCACAGGAAGCTTTGAAGAACTGATTCAGAACAAGACCCAACCTGAAAGGTGGTTTCATAGGACCTCCCATAAGGACATTCTATAACCTCATCTCAAAAGTGATCCAGAAATTATTTCTTTCTAAGGATAATTTAGTTGACTCCCTCCAAAACGTAAGGGTTTACGGTCTCATTTAGCGTTATGTAACTATTTAAAGGTATTAAAATACTTATAAAATCATTATATCATTTTGATACTGAGGTCACTTCTAAACCAACGTGAGTCAAAAAGAGTCCATTTACAAATGGGAAACCAGCAGCCTGATGTCAAACAGCAAAGCGAATCTTACCCACCACATCAATGTTTTATCACCACTGCAGTCAACAACCAGTGTTCACAACCAAACACAAGACACACACACACACACGCACACACACAGCTAAAGCATCCAGGCTGACACACAGAGAGGGCCCCATGAACGCCCCGCGGGTGGTGGTCGGCCCCGCGGAGAAGGTCAGAGGGGAAACGGGAAGCAAGGGGGCATTTGAGAAAGGGTTCCCTTTAGCAAGCGGAAGGTAGGCAGTCCTCCGGGCTGGCCTTCCGGATGAGCAAGACAATTATTTTCAGACCCACCGTTCCTCTAAATGCCAACAAATTCACCTTGCAAATCAATGGAGCCTCACAAAACACCCCAGCACTCTCCCGAGGGGACGGCACTGCACCCTCAAACAAGTGCTCCCAGAACGGGAGCCCCACCCAAAGGTGAAAGCAGCAGCAGACTGGAGGGCTGGTTGAAGGGCCGGTGGGAATTCGCGAGGCAGCGTTAACTCACAGTATCTTCACCGCACCCCGTCAGTCATTTCATCAGGGAAAAAAGAAAAGCCCTCCTTCACACAAGGCTTAACGGATGCTCGATCACATTCCAGGCGGGCCCCCTGACATGTGCCTTCGCTATCATGCCATCTCCTCAGCGATAAAGTCAGGAGACCATACAGACTTCCAGCCTCCCGGAGAACGATGATCACTTCAAAGTAAGAAAACAGTTTCCTCGCAAAACAATCTCTTCATGTGGTCAACAGTCCTAATATTCAGGGAAATCTGAAAGATAGAACGATGCAGGGACGTCCCCTAAACCGGGGAAAACTTCAGTTCAACCTACAGGTATGGGGAGCCTAGTTCAGGACAGACTGTGGAGGGTACGTGAACCAAAGACTATTTCCAGATCCTGAGGCATTTACGAACTAAGAACAATAGAGAGAGAGAGAAGATGCTTTCAGTAACACTTAAAAAGCTCATGTGAAAGAAGCAAGCACAGTGTTTCATCTCAGAAGACTGGTTACTGCTATCCACTTTACAACAAAGTATTATGCCGGGACTCTATTGTAAACAATTAAAATATTATTGCTTAATTCTCCATATAAAGTATTACGCAGCCACTAAAAAGAATAAGCCACCACTCTGAATGTTGGTACATAGAGACGTCCAGATATGTTAAATGGAAAAATTAAACTGATCCCATGTATGTGTGTAAAAAAAGGCAGGGGCGGGGTGGGGGATGAATTGTGTGCACAGTATATGAATATGCTGAAAAATGGACAGAAACATTCTGGATCAAAAAAAAAAAAATCAACTGTCAACAGTGGTAATTTGTGGAGAACAGGCAGCTAGGTGAATGTTCATGCTTTATTTCCACGACTCTAGCTGAATATTTTAGCACAGGTGCAGGCCATCTGTTCCACTCACTCACTCCCTTCATCAATTATTTGACTTCATTCAACGAATATTTAATTCTATGTGCTAGGAATCGTTCTAGATGCTGGGGATACAAAAGTGAGCCAGAGCAGCAACAAATCCTCATGGAAGACGTATTTCCTGGTGAGAAACAAGCAAAGAGTGTATCCCATGCTGATGATGAGGCACTAAAAAGAAAAATAAAGAAGGGCAGGAGACTGTGGTCCGGAGCCTGAAGGGAAAGACAGAACTAAATTCAAAAGGCCCAAGGGCCACCCGGGCGGCTCAGTGGGTTAAGCATCCGACTCCTGATTTCCGTTCAGGTCATGATCTGAAGGTTCGTGGGTTCCAGCCCCATATTGGGGTCTCTGCTGTGAGCATAGAGCCTGCTTTGGATCCTCGTTCTTGTTCTCTCTCTGCCTCTCCCCCCTACTTTCTCTAAAATAGATACGTACATACATAATACATAAATAAAATTCAAAAGGCCCAGAGTGCATTTTAGGATGTTCATTGTTATCCTGGTCTCCACCCATTCAAAGCCTGTTGTATCTCCTCCAACTCACTCCACACTCTCCCATCAAAACAAACAAACAAACAAACAAACAAACAAAAAGTTTCCAGACTTTGCCAGTGTTCCCTGGGGCTCAAAATCACGTCCAGTAGAGAGGCATTAGTTACAAAAACAGAGACCACTGTGGCTGGGGCACAGATGAGGGGAGAGCAGTAAGGGAGTTTTTTTTATATATAAATTTTAACCTTTAGAATCATTTTAGATTTACAGGAAAGTTATGAAGACGGTCTCTCCTGTTGGTAACCTCTCCCATTATTATGGTGCACTTGTCACAACTAACGAACTTGAGAGGAACAGGACCTAGGGAATTAGATGAGGAGTTTTGGAAAGTTAAGGTGAAAATGCCCACTGTTACCCAAGTAATGATTCTGAGGGGGCAAGCTGACGTGTGGGAGAGGTCCAGCCTGGAGACACAAATGTGAGAGTTGCCTGAATATACAGAGCATGCTGTTTCAACCACAAAACTGAGATCATCCAGGGAGAGAGTACAGGTAGAGAGGAAAAGAAAACCAAGCACAGAGCCCTGATGACCCACGCCCCCAAAATGTGGAGGACAGCAGAGGAGAACCAGCACATGAGACGGGACAGCAGTCAGTCGCTGACGAAGAAGCAAGAAACAGTGGTGTTATAAAAACAGGATGGGTCCGTCAATCTTTCTGAACATCTGAAGCCTCACATTAGAACTTGGCAATGACGCATACACACTGGCTGCTACTATGCAGCTGCACACACTGCTGGCCGGCCCCGGACACGCCCTCACGCCCCAACCCGGCACAAGGAAAAGGCCAACACATCACATTACTGCAACGGTTCCCTCCCCACCGCATCTCGGCCACCACCCTGCTCTCACAGCTGCATTCCCCACGCCTGATCACCTTCCTGAACCCACCCCGCCAGCGGTTCTTCTCAGGGACAGCTCAAAGCCGGACTACCCCTGCTGGACCACCCTCAACAGAAACCGTTCAAAACCCGGAATTTACTCTGCAAACCTGGCTAACAGAATGCCACTGTGATCAGGATCAATGAGTAAGGGCAACTTTTTACATCAGAAAACAAAAATTCCATGGGGCGCCTGGGTGGCTCAGTCGGTTAAGCATCCAACTCGATTTTGGCTTTGGTCATGATCTCACAGGTCGTGAGATCGAGTCCCACGCCAGGCTCTGCACTGACGGCATGGAACCTGCTTGAGATTCTCCCTCCCTGTCTCTCTCTGCCCCTCCCCCGCCTCACTCTTGATCTCACTCTCTCCTGCTCTCTCAAATATTTAAAAAAAAAGGAAGAAAACAATTCACTTTTTAGGAGGTATTAACCTTTAGTAAAGGAACCTAGAACCGTGGATTCAGGTTCTGCTATAAAATGCGTGATCAAAAAAGTGGTGGCTGTTCCCCTGTGCAAAACAAACAGCAAAGCTGAGGAAGGAAAAAAAAAAGATACTAATACCATTTCTACTGAAAAGTACATTACCTAGAGTTCATGCTTATGAAAATTAAACTCCAGAAACGATTTTAGCCAAAGGCTACACTTTGATATTTAGAAGGTGATCATACTACTTCAACTCATTGTAGTTTAGGTTTTCTTCTATGCATTTTGCAAAGTGAAAACCAAGAATGTTTACTTAGTGCAGCCTGTAGAGGAAAGGGCCTCAGGTCCGAAGCTAAAATATCTTTAGTATAGATTTCTGGAAATCCATAAATAAGAGAGAAAAAATAATTTTTCTAGTAGAAATCAGATATTAACGTGCTCATATTTCTTCATTAGGGAGACCTTCACATAGAGTGTTCTAAGTCAATTACCGTGACTGCCCCTTCGTCACAAAACAGAACACAGCCCCAGTGCTAAGAACAAAACTGCATAAATTCAAATATTTAGATCTAAAGCTGAAGATTCAGAAATGTTGCATATGCTTCCATGATAGGACTAGGTGGGACACAGCATTACACATGCATAAAATCCCCTAAATGTTGTACATCTATTACTTAGAGGTCCCAAATCTTAACATGCCTTCAGCCCGCCATGCAACAGGCAAAAAGTAAACAGCATCAATGCCACCTGTGAGGATAAAAACACACAAAAAATATTCACCTGAAGAACTCTGTGTTCTCCCTCGGCGTGCCCTCCCACATTCTCCCATTTTGTACCAGCAGCAGTGAGAGCACTCACTAGAGTTGAACTTATTACTGAAATCCAGAGCTTAATGTTCAGTTTGAATAGTGTCACATTTTTAAAGTATTTTTGAAGATGTTTCAACTGCAGGGAAGATAACCACATTTTCA